CCTGCTGAATTGTTTGCAATCAACCGATTAGAAATATACCCAGAGCAAGGTTGGAACTATTTTCACGTGTTCCTGGACAAGCAGCTAAGACATATGCTCTAGCCACACTGACAGAGATCAATCATCCTGTTAGGGAACCAAAGAATTTAACACCTTGAATAATGAAAAAGAATATTGTGGATGCAGTAATGACTACAAAATACTTATATTCATTGTGTGTCAGTGCAAAATGATAAGACCGCATTACATATCAGGACAAGTACTTTGCGTCCCAAGGAATCTACAGTTCGGGGGGATAAAGTAAAAGCCAAACCACCTTGGACTTGGAGATAGAACCCACACAGGCATTTTGCAAGTGATCCTTGGTTAAAATGTCTTAATTCTGGAAGAACAGTTCCACTCCAATATCAGCACCACCAGCACTGGTTTTAATGGAGTTTATAGTCTGCAACAAGATATGCTACCTTGACTTAAGTGTCAAGATGTGTTCAATGAACATCTGGAAAGAACTCACCAGCTCGGATCTTGACTGCTTGTGGTGTCAGACGTCTGTTAATGTTGTCAATCAATACACGCCTCTCTTCCTCTGTCAGATCTAGGCTATCCAGGATTGCAGGGTCTCTGAGCCAAACAAAGCAACGTTATAAAAGTTACACTGAAGTGGCATATAACATAACATTAACTTCCAGTACTATTTCAATATTATTATGCATAATCATAGAGATCTACTAGGCAATGAAAACAGGGAAATTTCTTAAAAGTCCATTGAAACACTGGAAGAAAATAAACACATCTATTTGCAAAATATTTTCTATAGGAAGCATTTAACAACAAAGCAAAAAAGTAGTTTACTTAATCTGTTCCTGGAAGAAAAGATCTGTTTTTTTTAAGAAAAAAGGAATGACTTCTGTCCAGCTCCATTTGTACATGATACACAGAGTAAGAAAAATGTCTAGCTGCTTGGTATTTATGTTCCCTCCAATGTGAAGATAAACCCATACTGCATGAAAGAGAATCCATGATGAATCTGAGGTTTTTGAATTATTTTAACGTTTCATTCAAACACAAGATTTTGTCATTCTACAAAGTAACCTATACTAAGCCTCCAGAAAGCACTTCAGCAAGCACAGGAAGGCAGCAATATCCACAGTTTTCTGCTCAGCCACTGTAGCTTTATGTAGTAGCACAACAGGAACAAATAAAAGTTGCGGTCTATTGTCAGAAATCTTTCATCTTTTTCTGATGAAAACATGTTTTGAGAACAGACAGCTTCAGAAGTTGGTACTCCAACCTGAATAGCAGATGCGCAACAAATTGCATGTGTTCAGGAATTTTTCTGAGTTTAAGAGAAGCTTAAACAGACAATATAACTACAGTTTTCATTCTTCTAGTATACAGGTGTTTAACTAAGTATTTAACAGTTACAGAATGATCTGGAATTCCTCCTGCAGCAATGTGCCCAGATTTGCTCTTTACTTGAATTTGCTATCGTTAGAAAATAATTATTATTCTATGAAACAGAGCACATTCAGTCCAAACGAGGATACAAGATGTCTCTTCCCCAAAAACACCAAGATGGGTAATCAAAATGCTACCAAGTACCCTGCTTCTTTAAGTTAACGCAATTTCTAAAATTTTATTACTGCCATCTAGTGTTCAACTCAAGTTCATCACTCATAGGTTTATGTGCTATAAAAGAGTAAAATTAGAAATTTTTATTGAGAAATCCATTTTTGGATTGCCAGTTCCACAATAGAATCTTTAGAGGGGAGCCAAATAGGTTAATTCTGAAATAAAATTAAAATACCAGACTTCATTACAAAAATTAAGAGTAATCTATCTCAGTGCATACTCCTTAGCATCATGGTTTCCAACTCTTTCTGTTCATAATTCCATTTCTAAGTTCATGACCCCATTTCCATTCTTTAAGTTTGGAAGTGTGGAGAAGTGACAAGCCAGATTGTTGCATTTAAAAAAGAAAAATTCTGCCTGTGCAGTGGAAGACTGACAGTCAGCTGTGAGTACAAGGATCTTCAGACACAGAGCTAGACTTGTTTGGAAACATCTGCTTGGGACTCAGAACACGTAAATTCTGACAGACAAACCAAGATCAGTGCTGCTTCTTCCGTTAAAAATGTCACAGGCTCATATGTAGCAATAGAAATCTCTCCAGTGTTTGTAATTACATGTTTCTCTTATATTATTCACGAAGTGCCTTAATATTTTGCCACATCAAATTCAATTACTACTTTTAAAAAACTGACATATACAGAGTGGCACACTCAAATGTGGATAAAAACACGTAAAATCTGAGCCTTCTTTCTCAAAAGCATTGGGAACTTGAAGAAAGCAGTAAGACAGAGAAGCCTACAATAAGCAACTGGAAGACTAATGTCAAAGTTTACTCAGTTTACTTGACCAGTACATTCTACATACTGACTCTGGGAAAAAAAAACGCAAACAAAACCCCTGAAAGAACATTATGGTGGATCTATTCCACGAAATAGTTCGCTGCAGCTATGAAATAAACCCCTAGAAGTAGAAAATATGTCCTTACGAGACTGCATGCTTGAATGCATCATAAGCACCATATCCTGGTCTTTTGTACTTGTCATCAAATACCCAGGCAGTTCTCTGGAATAGACTCTCGAGCTGCTCATCCTTAGTGTACTCAAGGACTTCAGCAACATGACGAAGGATGCTGTAAACCTTGAACACAAAACGGGTATTAAAAAAACTAAACCAAAATATGCTGCCCCCCCCCCCAACTTATCCAGTCTCACACTCTCATGTGATGCCTCTTACTATGACTTTATACAGCATAAAATTGAGTCCCACAGATCAAAGTCCACAACCAAAATTGTTGATGCAAATAAACAATAAAAAATATCAATGATAAAGGGTCTTGATTCTAAATACTGCATGATGTTGCAACACAACCCTTCTCTATATTTAGCAATAAATTACATACTGAGCTCTAGGAACTTGGAAATCAAAACCACTTTATGAACCTAAACCTTTGCTGTGTAGTTATGAAGATAAAATTATTCTCTCATGGAAACTGGTGCAAAAAGCATTATCAAGTTGTTAAACAGTATATTTGCATAGAAAGAAAAAAAAGCTAGAATTAACGTAGTACTTAGTGGTAAGTGTTCTACTCCGAAGTGTAAGACCACACAGTAGCAAGGGTGGGAGCCAATGCCTTAAACTACTTGCATGCCTTTTCAATAAAGTTTGTCCACAGAATGCTAAACCACCATATGCTTTTGGACTCCTAATCATTTAAACTTCCCCCTTTACAGCACAGATTTTCAACTGACATATTACTTGATCTACTCATTAATTAAGAAGCCGCTTACCAGAGCCCTCATGGACAGATGAGCTCATTATATATACTTACATGAGTAAATGAGAATCAGAGTATGCTTAATAAATGAGAACAATACTTTATTTTCATATTATCTTATGTCTGTGCATTTTGGTTGCTCAGGAAAGAAGCTGGCAACACACAGTGCCTGAATCTAGCAAAGCAACTTACAGTCTTCGATTTTGTGAATTTGTCTTCACATTTGATTGCCTCCTCTGGAGAAACTCTTCTTTTTGACAAGTCAATATAACCTATTGGGGACAACCATTTTGAAAGTGTCAGGCATTGTGCAAACTATGTCTAACTGCTTCAGAAGAAAAGCATAAAGAACAAATGCTCTGGCTCAGGATTTGCCCCTTGCCTCTGCTATCTCTATCTGTTGCTACAGAAAGTAACAAAACCAAACCTTAATGAATTTGATCAAATCATGATCCAAACTAGGGTATTAAATTATTCTTTCAACTGTAAATACTTATAATAGCAAATCTTTTGTATAACATTCTTTAAAATTACTGCCCTCAGAATGTTTTTCTCTACAAACCTGGAAGAAGTTTTCATATTTCAGCAGTCAGTGATCAATTTTTCTGTTGCTGTACACAGTTTTGGCAAAAATCACACCAGCATACAAAGAAGCAAGCTTGATGCATATTTTTGTAGTACTCAATTTCATTCAAGGTTGACACTCCATCAGTTTCGCTCTGAGCGGTTTCCTAATAAAGCAGGCCTGGCCTCAAATTCTGACTCTTAGCTCCTTGGATAGCCTTTTGGGAGAACTGTCTGTGAAAAAAACTCTTTGGAACCATTTCTTAGTAAATTTGAAAAGGCCTCCATGTACTTCTCACAAACTATAGGTTCCCCAAAAGATTAAATAAAAGACCACTATGTGAATTCCAGATGTGTTTCTCTGTTAATATGAGACTGAAATTAATTTCTAAGAGGAAGTATCCTTTCATCAGACATGCTGGAAAGCTTATTTTACTTCAGATCTATCTGAAACAAGTTGTTTCTTATCTGTCTTTCCTCTCTACTTTTTCTTATCCTGCCATTCATTACTTAATCTCAGAGTTAACTGCAGTTCCAGAAGTATTCTAGAAAAGCGTATTACTTTAGAAACATCATACCAACAGTCAGGTTTCTAGATGTGCTCAGTGTTTATTTTCATTATTTTTTTACACCTGGATATAGATTTTAAAGGTTGCATGGAACTGCATTATCAAAAATCCAACATGTCCTAAACAGAAAAGATATTAAAAAAACTTTTAGAATAAAAGAGTCAAATGGTCAGAAGACAGGAAAAGACGAAGTTGCCTGTACAATCTCAATTCATAACCTTCTACAGAATTCATGTGCTACAATAATTACATACATGTCATCTACTATATAGCCAAGGTTCAAGGCTTGGTAATGCACAGGATGGACTGTCAGAATCATATGTTCACCATTTAGATTTTTAATCATTACATCAGATGATCCTTCTCTTCAGTTAAGACTTAGAAAATCTACTTCTACATCAAAAGAAAATTCCACTTCACTATGGTTTGTTGACCAAACACTGAGTTGGTGAGGACCCACTTCAGCAAATCTTTACTGATGTGATTGACCTTCATTAAGCCAATTCCCAAAAGACACAGAGGAATGGAAGAATGATCATAAATATCAGATGGCATGATGATGGTCTATTTTGCTTAAGTGCTTTAAAAAAAAAAAAAGAACCCCTGGCAGACTCAGTGAATACCTAAGTTTATGTGCATTTCTTTGAATTCAGTCTTGATATAGCCCACAATATCCCCCAATACCTTTCTCTTTGTCAACTCTTATGACCACAACACATTCATTCCTTCCGATGCGGATGAGCTTGTTTATGGAACGAATACGTCTTCTGGAGAGCTCACTGAGAAGGATCATGCCTTCAATGTTGTTGTACTCCAGCAGGCTGACATAGGCTCCCATTTCAGCAATGGACCGAACATTGACCATCACTACATCTTCCACCTCTGGAAATTTATGCTGGTAGAATCTACAACTTAGTCCTGGCATTCTGGAATTTGAGCAGAAAGAAACAAAGATTTTATTTCACAGTACATCACTGACTTCTACAAACGTGGTAAAAAATGAGCAAGGACTGGTGAAGATAGAGAGGAACACTGGTACAAAAAATGCAAATTAGGATAAGGCTTGTGCAATTCATACTTAGGTTTTAACATAAATTAAACAATAAATTAACTAGTATTTTAGTATTACCACAACCATTTGCTAAGATGCTAATTTTTTGCATTAAAGTAGAAAACACTTGCTACATGGACTTTATTATCCCCTTCAACTGCCATACTACCTATCCACAGCACCTGGCAGAGAAGAGACTTCAAGTGGTGAAAAGGTGGCACTGCACACCTTGCATTCATCTAAATTCACGAGGCTGTGTAAAATTTTAAATCAGATTTTAACAGGAGGACATGGGAGAAAAGAAGCTTGCGGTGCTCATGAAGGTATTTATATGCACATAAGACAGCATGTGAGAGGCTGAAAAAGTAAGAGGCAGAGTGAAGCTTCTGTAGTACTGAGAAGGAGCAGTCTCAACACTCCAGAAGATGACTTTCTAAACTCAGTACAAGATGTTTGGAATAATCCTGCAAGACCTGCTTCAGAGGCCACCTGTCAGCAAAGAAAGCAAAGGCAATAATCAGAGCAGGAGATAGAACTAGCCTGACATGAATGAAACACTAAAAAAAGAAAAAAGTACCCCCCAACGTATTGCTAGTCAGGAGGGAAAAAAAAAAAAAACCCTGAAAAACAAAACCAGGACTCTTCCATTATACATTCGAAAAAAGTACAAAAATAATGCTTCATAATCACGTAGTGGTAAGAAGGAATGCTTAAACCTCTTCATTTTCCTGGTGATGAATCCACATACTCATCACTCATCAGGCTAGCTCAATTCCTTTTGTCTATGCCTAGAAGTTTCACACAAAGTTTCCTACAGAAGTAGGAGCCTAAGATGCTGAGTAACACGCATCACTCCTTCAGAAGGTTTGTTGTAATCACCATTTTGAAGTTTTAGTCTTGATCTTTACAGCAGTGCTAATGCTTTCTAGCTATATGAGAATTTAAGAAGATAGTAAGACAGTAATGCCAAGCACCACGTACACATGGCAATACAATTCAGAAGACTGTGTCCACCCTTATTTCCATTCTTAACTTTCAGAAAGAGGAAATACAAAGTAGTAAAGGTTTATAAAAAAACTCCTCTAAAGGTTTCATATAACTTCATATAATTTGAAGCTGAACAAACGACTCCAAGATTAAAAATAAAAGCTTCACAGTCTCCAGTTTTCTAGTCCACTTAATGCAGTTCAGCTCAATCCTATGCCTACTTATAAGATACAGAATAAAGACATATTGCAAAGCAACAAACCCCAAACACAGCAAGCAAGAATGGACAAACACTGCCTCTGCACACAGATTATTTTACTCCTCTCCATAGACATACGCTTTTTATTTTGGCCTTCTGTGGGAAGCCTCTCAGAAGCAACACAGTGCCCAGAGCACCAACGCTGGAAATTATCTTTCCAAGACACTAGAAACGCCTCAGCAAAGGTTTAAGTCCCCACGGCCACACAAGTCTCTGCGGAAACTGGCGAAAATGGAGTAACTTCTGACCAGCGACTCCTCC